GTTGCCCAGGCTGGAGTGCAGTGGTGCGGTCATGGCTCACTGCAGCCTCAACTTCCTAGGTCCAAGTGATCGTCCTGCCTCAGCCTCTCAAGTAGCTGGTACCACAGGTGTGCACCACCACGCCCAGCTAATTTTTAATTTTTTTTGTAGAGATAGGATCTCCCTATGTTGCTTAGATTGGCCTTGAACTCTCAGGCTCAAGCAATCCTTTCACCTTGGCCTCCCAAGGTGTTAGGATTACAATTGTGAGCCACCATGCCTGGCCTATTTTTTTAATGCAGTTAAATATATCAGCCTCTTCCATAGCTTCTGGATTTTGTGTCATTCTTAGAATCACCTCCCTATTTCAAAGTTTTCTTTTTAAAATCTCCATTTTTGTCTTCTACTACTTTTATGATTTCATTTTTTATTTTTAAATCTTTGGCTTATCTGGAATTCATTTTGGTGTAAGTTTGGGTTAGTGTATCCAGTTCTCTCAAAGCTTTTATTGAATAATCCATCATTTCCTCACTGCTTTGGAATGCTAATTCTTGTTTTGTTTTTTTTTAACTTTAAATTGTGGTTAAAACCACAACATAAAATTTACCATCTTAATCATTTTTATGTGTACAGTTTAGTAGTGTTAAGTATATTCACATTGCTGTGCAACAGATTTCTAAAACTCTTTCATCTTGCAGAACTGAAACTCTATACCCATTAAACAACAACTCTCCATTGAAATGTTACCATTTTATAACAAACTAATTTCCCATCTTCTTTATTCTTTCTGGACCACTGTCACAGCTTTCTAGAATCACCATAATTCCAATTTGTCATGTACACCATTGCCTGATTAATTTTCCTCGTGCAAGCTCTGACCACAACTCTTCTTCATTAAAAACCTTCAGAGGCCCTCTCTGACACTGCAATTGAGATTAAACCTCTGTTATACCCTTTCATAGTGCCCTGTACCTTTTCTTCCCATCACTTCTCATGATTTGTAATTTTAATTATCTGCATGATCACTTGACTACTGGTTATCTCCTTGCTAAGCTTGAAGTTTCATGAGAGCAAGGACAATGTGCTTACCACATATTCCCAGTGCTTAGCATTGTTCCTGGCACAAAGTAGGTGTTCAGTCCTTATTTGTGGAATGAGAGATTGTCCCTCACCTGTGGAATAAAATCTTAACAACTGCAGGATCTGATTCTACCCTACCTCCTCTGGGTCCTCTGCCCTTTGAGGAAGTCAAGCTGCGGGACATCCTTGAGAAAGCCTTGGGTTTTCTAACATTTTGTTCTTGTTTACATCGTGCCGCATTTGTTCTGGTTTACATCGTGCCCCGATTTTATCTTTGTATTTGTGCTCCAATTGCCCCCTCAGCCTGGAGTCCATGCCATCCACTCAAGCCCCCACCAGCATTGCTGCTTGATGGAAATATAGTTCATCTTTCAAGGCTATGGCTATCTCCACCACTGAGCTATGAGTTCCTGGAATGCAGGAGCAGAGTGCTCTCTAGTTTGTCCCTAGGGAGCAGCACTGCTCTAGGAGGTGCTCTTGGCTACAGATTTGTTCTGGGCAGCAAGCTCCTTGCGGGTAGACAGTGTTCTTTACTTGTGTACATCTGGGTACCTTGCCTCCTAGCCCCCAGGGCCTATTCCAGGCCAGGACTTGGAGTTGGCTTCAGGAATCTTCTAGTAACCTAATGAATGAATGTGTCTGGTTGTGCCTCTAGAGGTCTGAACATGACCTCAAGTCTCAAAGACTGAGACTTGCCTGCCTTTCCTCCACTGTGCCTTGTGGAGTTCTCTTACTCCCTTTCCTTCTCTAGCAATAAACAATTACTGACCCATGCCGTCCTCGTCTGCGCCTGTGCAGGGCCTTGACTCTCCCTTCAGGATGTCCCATGCCTTCTCCCTCCAAGCTCTCTGGAGAAGAGGTTGCTCAGTTGGCCACATTTCTGGCCGCTGGCACCAGGAGGCAGGATTGCCTTGCCAAAGTTCCTGCTTTCCCTCCTCATTCAGAAGCACCTTCTCTAGGTTTGATGGGTAATTTTATATGTCAGTTCGACTGGGCTAAGGATATCGATTGCTGGTCAGACATTTCTGTGTGTGTCCGAGAGGGTGTTTCCAGAAGAGATGAGCATGTGAATGGGTAGACTGAAGACAGAAGATTGCCCTCAGCAATGTGGGTAGGCATCATCTGATCTGTTGAGGGCCCAAGTAGAACAAAAAGACAGAATAAGGGTGAATTTGTTTCTGTCTAAGCTGGGACATCATCTTCTCGTGTTATTGGACCTCTGTGCTCCTGTTTCTCAAGTCTTCAGACTCAGACCAAGGCTTACACTATCACTATCCTCCACCTTTTCAGGCCTTCAGACTCCGACAAATTACACCACTGACTTGCCTCATTCTCCAGCTTGCAGACAGCAGACTGTAGGACTTCTCGGCCTCTATAATCTTGTGAGCCAACACATGTATATCTGTATGTCTCTATCCTATTTGTTCTGTTTCTCTGGAGACTCTGGTTAATATATTAGAGATGCTCAGGCCATTCCCCACCATCACCTGCCTCCCAGCCACACTCCTGTCACCCCCATGATTCCAAAGCAGCCCATCTCCCTCCTGAAGGCACTGGTCCCTGGCTCAAGCTTCTCCCCACCCCAAGGACTACTGCCATACTGGGAGTTCCAGAGCTTATACTCATAGAGATTAAGGGTGTCAGGCTGGGGACCAGGCGCTGAATGCAGCCTGCTGACCTATTTAATTTGGCCAGAATTGTGTTTTTTGAAGGCCCAAGCAGGGGAGGGACCCTGGGACCCTCCAGCCATTCAGAGTTCGGCTCCATCCACATCCTGTTATTCTGCTTCAGCCGCCATGCCTGTGTCCACACTGCCCTTGTGTTGCTAGGAGCTGTGCATCTGAGACCCTCCTTCACCTCCCTTCCTAGCTCCCCCAGTCTTGCCCATGTGCGATACATAGATAGGGCCGAAGAAGGATCCTATGACCTGGGAGCTCAGGTCCCTCCTTCCTCTCCCTTCCTAGCTCCCCCAATCCAGTTCCTGTGTTCTCCTCACAGACCTGAGACCCTCAAGCCTCCTCTGCTCTCCCCACCTTCTTCCAGGCTTCCTTTCTTCCCTCTCCGTTTTCCTACCCCTGCCTCATCAGCCCCCTCAAAACCCCATGTCTCCCTGTTCCCAGCCTTAAATGAATCTAACCATCCACCTTTATTGAAATCATCTTAAAAACGAGATGTTAAAAGTTGCTTAACTATTTGCTTTCCCACAAACCTCCAGAGATTCTTCCAGAGCCACAGGACTGGTGGCACTAAGGTGAAGGCATGTTTCCAGAAGGCCCTATGGACTCTGCCTTTTATGAGCTTCTGCAACCTCATCTCTTCCTGTCCCCTCTACCAGCCCTGTGACATAGCCTGCGTGCTGAACTCCTGGTTTCAGCCACTGTAGCCCCTCTCATGTGCCTGTGCCTGTTTAATAGCTGTTCCCCTCACTCATTCTTCCCTTGGCTGATTCAAGTCTTATTTCAAAAGCCAAAACTTTCTTTGGGTGGATATGCTTTTATGTAAGGACAGAGAGCAAGGCCAGCAAGGATGCACCACAAGCAGATAAACAGTTGCTACCTCTGTGGAGAACCAGAGGCATTCAGGATTGAGGGAGAGATTTGGTCAAAGGGTACTTTATCCTCATCTGCAAAGCTTCTACTTTTTACAAGGAGATTGGATCATTGATTTATTACTTGTGAAATATGAAAACAAATAAGCCAGTTCAATACAAGGAGCCTTCCCCAGACTTCCCAGGCAGATGGAGCTGTTTCCTTTTCTGGGATCAAATAGCACCTTCCCCCTGTGTTCTAGGAAATGCTGTTTTATTATAATTTGTTTGTGCCTGTCTTTCTCCTTCTGAGATGGGGAACTCCCTCAAAGGTAAACTTCATCTAATTCACGCTCCCAGTGTCTAGCAAAGTGCCTGGCCCAGAGCAGGTGCTCAGGGAGTGCTGAATCCAATCAACGCCCCTGCTAGCACACTCTTTTAAAAGTGCTTGCTAGGGGGCAGGCCTGTTGCTCGTCCTGAGAGGCTGATTAGAGTCGTGTTCAGCGTTCAAGGAAGAAGTCTGTCTGGGAGTCCGAAACATGGACAGAGTGTCCAGGACATTGGGTTGTATCAACATGAGGACAAGGCTTTATCAGCGTATCACAAGGCCAGGATCCAGTGCAGTGCCACTGCCTTGTCACTTGGCATGCTTCTGAAGCCACTGCTACCTCAGCAGTTAATAGAAAGGCAAGGGATAGATCGCCAAATGTTGAACTTGTCAAGCCTAGCCCTGATGTGTATCTCTAAGATGGAGAGGCAAGCTCAAACAGGGTGGGCCAGGAAGGTAGGAGTTAGGGACACTCAAGATTGGCTCAGAGTGTCCCAGGCTGGGAGGACTGAGCAGCTATGTGAGGGGACTGGAGAAGGCACCTCAAATCCCAGTTTAATGATGGGAGTCTGTTGCTTTTGCAATTTTCCAGAGAAATATTAGCTCCTAGGTCACGGGATCCTTCTTCAGCCCTATCTGCCTATTGCACATGGGCAAGAGGGCAAAGGAAAGGCTTTAGTGGGTCAATCGGATTGGGGCTAGAGAGTGGGTGGGGGTGGCTTTTAGAGTTGGTGAAGTGTGTGCCACGTGGTCAGGGATGTGCCTTTAGACTTGGATGTGCATGTGACAAGGAGGCTGCACAAAGGTCTGATCAGTCTCTCTTCCAAGAAAGCCCCCAACCAGCCCCTGTATGCCACGTGTTCCTGGAGTCTTAGGGCAATGAGACCAGGTACTCCTGAGGAGATAGCCACAGTGGTACTGACAGCAGGAATTCAGTGAACAGCCTCCTTCACCTTCCCTTCTCCTCGCATCCCATCCAGCTCCTTCCCAGCTAGCCACCCACAACCCCGCCATGGGCCTCAGAATTGCTAAAGGGACATCAGACCATAGTACACATCATTAGATCTCAATGAAGAACACCTCTAGTTGGCCCGTCTCTTTGTAAGTAACTTTATTTTTATTTACAACAGAATTGGTGGCTTTATTCCTCCATCTTTAGGGACACTTGGCATCAGCAGCTAGATGGAAAGTCCGCAGTGAAGTCAAACTCATTCTGCCCCAGCCACAGCTCTGGAAGCTCATTGGCTCGGTCCAACCCCAGTTCCACCACCAGCGACATCAGCACCTCCTCATCCACTGGGTCCGAATCGATGATAGCAGAGTTCTGGGCACCAGCAGAAGGAGAGAGTGATTCCGCCCCTCCCGCCTGGGCCCCAAAGTCCCAGTTTTGCAGGGGCTCTGCCTCCCCGGGTTGGCCCGGAGTGGCGGCAGCCATACCCTGATACTGGCTGTTAAGTTTCTGCAGCTGCATACTAGCCAGCAAGTGAGGGGTGGGGTGCAGGTTGAAGGATGGGGGTTTAGTGGGAGGGGTGGCGGTAGGAGAGCCTATTGGAGATCCTGAGGAACTAGTGGGAGCCCCACTGGCCTTGGTTCCATTTGAGGCTACCCCAGGGTAGTGCAGAATGGCCACTGCTTTGCGATCTTTCACCGCAAGGTTGGAGTAGGCCACGGAGCTCATCTCTTGGTTGGCATCCTAGAAGACAGAGAAAAGCACACCATAGTAACCCTGCTCCTGGCTTGTCCTTCACCATTCAGCAGATTTAGAGGGTTCCTACCTGCACTTCATTTAGGACTAGAGGTGGAGAGGTAGCAAGAATACCCCCTTGAAAATTAGGCTCCCACCTCAAGCATCCTTTTGCTGCCATGGCTCTGAGCACTGAGGCCAGACCCCAGTTCTAGTGCTGGAGCATCTGCTGCCCTAAGTGGGTTCACCGCTTTCAGCTCCTTCCCCATAGCCTCCACCTCACCATCCTAAAAAGGGCACCTGCTGTCCCTCTTCTCAGACTCACTTTAGTCTCTTCAACAGAGTGGTTTTGCTCCAACTCGATTTCTCTGCTCCCTTCCCTGCCATCTTTCAACACCCCTAGTGGGTTCAATCTGACCACATTTAGGCAGAAGCTGTTCTCATTCTCTCCAGAGATAGCCCTGTTGTCTCCTCTCTGCTCAAGGACACTGGGTAATGCACCTAGGAGGGCCTGGCCCATGACCCCGGAAAATTTGTCTTTCCCTGCCTTATCTGCAAAATGGCAAAAATTACCTCCTTCGCAGGTGAGGTGCCACCCTTGACATCAAGTGCAGGCCTCGACGTTGTTGGCATTTCAGAGCCTTGGCAGAAGTTGGATAAATTGGCAGGAAGTGATGCTGCCAGCTGGAGCTGTTGTGCTGCAAGTGAGGAAGAAGCAGTGGTAAGGGCAAAAGGCTTCAGTGACCAACAAAGCACTAGCAAAGCCCGAAGCAGGGCAACGCCACGCAGCTACGAGGCAAGGATGGTGACTGGGTTAGAGCCAGGACCAGAGATGACCCGAGCACAGGGAAGAGATCAAGCTGGAACTTTTGCCTGAGGCAGGAAAGGTGCTTGAATTGGCCAGGTACTGCCCAGGCAGCCACCTACCCATATCACCAAGATGGGACACACTGCTTCCTCATGCAAGTGACTTCACAGTCCCAAGTTGTATGTGTGGGGGTGAGGGTGGCACTGTTCCTGGTTTGGAGGACAGGAATGTCCCTGAGTAGACAACATATTGTCTCAATGGGCTACTAGAATCCAGACTGGAGAGTAGGGGCCTCCACTGGGACTGGGAGAATGTGGGAAGAAGTCAGGGCAAGGAAGACCTAGAAAGCTAGAGGTTGCAGCACAGGGAAGGAAAAAGTCCCCAGTGCAAATGTCATGGAGCTCCAAAGCATGGCCTTGGGCATGCCTGTGAGAAGCCAGGCTGATTAGGGTAGTCCGGGGGCTCTGGGGCAGCTGGAGCCAGAGAAGCTAGGAATGTCTCACTTCCCTCCATGTCTCAAGCCCCTTCCAAGACAGCCCCAGCGTTGGGCTTTCCTAGGATGCCTACCCCAGAAACCTGAGTCCAGCCATTTCCATCTATAGTGACAAGTGAGGCATGGAGATTCAATGGCTTTTTAGTCAGGGAGCAGCGGTTCTGGGAGCAGAATCTAGCAACCCTATGCCCATATGCCTCACCTGACCACTGGCTAAGTCACCATACCTAGTTGGACTCAAAAGGCTTCCAAAGAAGTGATTTCCTGGCTCAAGTGCCAAAGGATAAGGGAATGAGGGCAAAAGAATACCAAACCAGAAAATAAACAGCCCTCTGAAAATCTCAACGTATTTTCCTAGAGGCCTGTTTACAAAGAAGAAAAAATGTCCCATAACCAGGCACAGTGGCACCCTCCTGTAGTCTCAGCTACTCAGGAAGCTGAGGTGGGAGGAGTTTGATACCAAGCTGGGCAACATAACGGGACCCTATCTCTTAAAAAAAAAAACCAAAACAACCCATATATTCGAGCCTTCATGATCAATTAGAGATGTAGAATTTCATATTTATAAATACCTCTTGGTCCAGAGAATCTTGAGGACCTTAAAAAGAGTCTCTAATCTTTCCAAGGAGGCTAGGATTCTCCATGACACTCTCCACTCCACAGCGGTCATTAAGAATCTGCTTAGACACTTCTAGAAAGTGGCCACTTACTACCTCTCTGTATCATCTTTGCATTGCTTACTTGGGTGGATGGGGGGGGGGAGAGGGAAAAATAGAGAAAAAGGTAAACATTTTTTTTTTTTTTAAATATGAGGAAAAAATATCAGCTGTTGGGTCCCGCATCATCACTTGATTGAAGCCCTGCTCCTTCTCTGAGGCAACCGTAGAAAAATATTTCAAAAGCAAGTGATCACCGACAAGGAGTGTAACACATGTCGTCTTCAAGAGCCCTAGCACGATCAGTATCAGACAATTTTCCTGTCCTAAGAAAAACGTCTGGGGGCCCTGTCCATCTTTTCCCGTTCCTATCCAGCCTTCACCCTCCTTTTTGCCGCCTGGTACCCGAATGTACAAAGCGAAGAAAAAAACAACAGGAGCAGCAGCAACAACAGCAAAACCAAAAGAGAAACATTAGAAAATTCAAGAAAGAACGAGCAAAAAAACTATCTCTATTCTGATATCAGTTCGTGGGGGAAGACCATTTTACCGCGCCTCCCTCTTCAGTCTGGGAGCTCCCCCAGAAGAGACCCTGTGTCCATTCAGATCTTCTGCCTTCCATCACTGACCCACCACCCACCCTGACCCCAGCCTGGGTCTGTGCTCCATAGGCGCTCAGTAAGTGTTGTTGAATGCGTCTGAAGAAGCAATCGCATTTCCATCGGCATCCCTGGCTCTGCTTCCCCGGTTTTCTGCCCTCCTCCACCACCCTCTAGCCTGTTCGTGGGCAATACTTGGCAAGGCGGAAATGTCCCAGTCCGCTCTCCAAGCCGCGAGCTGACCACAGCGAAACGGCTGCGAGAAGCGGCTGGGAAACCTAGAGCAACAAGTGCCTCCTCGCCGGCTGATTCCTCGCGGTCCCCCGGCCACCAGTTCCCAGTCCCGCCGCCCGCTCTTCGCTTCAGGCCTTCCCTTGGGCGAGCAGCCCCCTCCCGCCTAGACAGGGGTGGGAAGGGGAGAGGAAGGAGAGAAGAGAGAGGCAGGTGGGGACCTCATCTTTAACCTGTTGGGGGACCAAAAGTTAAAATGGCACCAACCGGATGGTTCCATCTCGATTGCTATTTTCTCACTCAGAAGGAGAAATTTAAAAATCCAAACAGCACTGCGGCTTGGCTTGGACGCGCTCTAACCAGACCAGTCAGTTTCGCCACCTGAAAACTAAAGGCCCGTTGTTTGCGGACAGCTCGGCTGCCCTCCTCGCCGCATCCCAGATGGAGCCGCGGAACCGGGGGCGGCCGGGAGCATCCCCTGCAC